CAAAATCCCAACACCAAAACAATACGTCCGAAAATAATCAATCGCATACCGACGCTTCCAAATCACCAAGAAAAGTCCTAAACACTAACTCTCCAAAACACTACCATCTCCACTTGACTCTCTCCATCTCTTGTTCAAACCCGTACATATCCTCTCTTTTCCACTCCGCGGCAAAACACGATTTGATCCCAAAACACTTCTTTCACTGCAAATTCATCACAAAGTCTGTGCAACGCAAAAGATTCCTTGCTGATAGCCTTCGTCAAGAAATCTGCATGCTGAAACTCCGACGTCACATGCGTAATCGAAATCTCCTTCCTCTCTACCAGTTCCCTGATAAAGTGATGCCGTACATCGATGTGCTTCGAGTTTGAGTTCGTGATCGGGTTGTGCGCAATCTTAATCGCTCCCTGATTATCCTAGAACACCGGAATGCACGGCATACCTGCATCTGGCAACATAAAACGCCAAACCTGCCTCAAGAAAAGCACTTCTTTCAAGACGTCGGCAATTGCCACATACCTGCTTCCGTTGTGGAGAGCGTGATGCACTTCTGCGTCCTCGAAAACCAAGTCACACACCCACCCCCACACATCACTAGCCCTCCTGAGACCGACCTACGGTCTGCTGCCTTGCTTGCATAGTCGGCATCCACAAACACCTGCATGCTCATGCCAGTGACCACTCCCCTCTCAAATGTAATCCCCATCCAACTCGTCCTACGCACGTACCCTAAAATACCAAGTGCTGCCTTCCAGAGCACCATCTTGGGAGACGCGCAATACCGCCCTACTGCTCGTACTGCATTCGCGATGTCCGGCCTGGTTAGAGTGGCCAACCACATCAGGGATCCTGCCAACTCGCGAAACGGGACATCAGCACACGCTTCGTTTTCGTCAAAGTCGGTGAGCTTCACGCTCACAGGCAAGGGCACACTCTTCCCCCACTCAACGCCGTACTCTGCAGCCAACTCTTCTGCAAACCTTTGCTGCGAGATCCTCAAAAGGCCTCTCTCTAGATCTCTCTGGTAAAAGCACGCGGAGTACCACCTCAACTCCCCAAGGTTTTTCACGGGGACCATCTCGTTGAGGTCACTGCCAAACTTGTCACACCTCTCCTTCTGCCCTACGGCAAAAATGTCATCCACGTGGACCACAATGATCATGATCACACATCCATCCTCCATCGATCGAAAAACACACGCATCCGCCAAACATCGAGCAGCTCGGCCATGACGGGCCGAAGGGGTAGGTAAAGTCGTACAGACGTGTTGGAAAACGTGTTGTATTCATCGGGGGCTTGCTTGAGCTCGTCATTCCATCACGGCATCAAGTCACGCATAACGCTCAAACACCCAAAACGAATCTCCATGAATGTCCACCAATCTACCACACTCCCAAGGAAAACATAAAGAAACTTCTTGTTCCGTAGTTCGTCACTGCAAATCCCGCATATGTATACGCAATATACCACCCCCATGCAATGCTACGCGTATGTATATCGAATAGCAGCATCCAGCAGCAGCAGTACACATCCACCCTTTCTATCGAGACGAGATAGGTATGCCCTACGACGAAATATGTGTAGACGCTCGTACACTCCCCGTCACACGCCAGACTCGAAGTAAGTCTCCAAGGAATTTATAGACTGCTTGAAAGAAGTGTTACAAAACCCGTCGAATCAATAGAGGTTGGTACTGCTCTACATGCAATTGCAGCCTTGTTGCTGGTGTACTGCTGTAGCCCGTTGCTGACCTTTGGTTGGTCGTATTGTTTCCTAACCGCACTGTGCTACTGTAGTTGGCATCGCACCCGTACCATCCTTCACATGGCCATATCGACGTCAGGTAGACGGGTTGACATCAAGCTGCGTTCGTTCAGATGATTTGGGTTACCTCACGGCTTCAAAATGATCACAGCGGGGGCTAGGGTTTAAGGCCCCTGCGTTTTTGTAGGGGGGTAGAGGTCCCGTTGTACCGTCGAGTTCCCCTGATAAGGCGAACCACCTTAATGTTGTCTCGGGATTATTTCATGGTTTTTCCTGTGGGCGGGAGCGTTGGAGGGGACCTGTATATCTTCCTGTTTGCTGCCTGGGTTCTCTCTTTATTTCTATTATAGCTTCCAGTTTTATTTCTCGTTCTTTCTTCCTGCTAGACCGAGGTTGATTGCCCGTAACCGGGTTAGTTTTTTTTGTAGTTGTCCTTTTTTGTTTGGGCAGGAAACGAATCGTGCCTTGGAGGAATTATCTTGTGTCCATTGCTATGTCTTTATTTCTTAAGAAGGTATACCCCGTTTGGGGGTAGTTGGCTTGTGGTCACGGGAGGTGTCCGCGTCAGTTGGACCAGTACGAACATTAGAAGGCACCGAGTGAGGCCTTTGCGTTTAGTCATGTGAAGACAACCTCAAGTACAAATAACATAATGTATTTTCTTACTAATTTTTTTAGTAGTCGCGATGTATGACTTGGGCGTGACGGGGTGGGTCACGAAAAGTCGTGCCCAAAATGGTTTTAGTCGCCGATGCACTTGGGTGAACACTGTCCTATCCGAACGGCGCGTGCTTACGAGAAAACCACACATGCTGCGCACGTCAGCGGTCGGGTATCAAGCAGACGAATTACCACCGTGCGGATTTGTGAAGTATCTCAATAAGTGTCTTTTCGTCAATGTTTTTTGGCAACGAACCTCCGGTTAGCCAGCGCAGCACAAGGCTCAGGTAGACCGGGCTTGATCAATATGGGCCGATCCATTACGGGACGATTCGACGGCAATCATCAAGCCTGGTCCACCTGACCCTATTATTGCACCTACCCTACGGAGAAGAAGCTAAGGCACCAAATGGCCCCCACATATGCAACATCTCGGACGAAATCGGAACCATGTATAACAACATATTCGCCTGATTGAGAGCGTAGCATCTGATTGAGAGCGAGATTGCGCGATACGCTGTAGCCGGACTACCACTGAGAGGTGGAGCTTGCTGTGTAGCTTGAATTGAAGGGCTAGCCCGTAGCTTCAAGCCGCTACCCTGGTCATCCTGTGGGAGTCTCTCGTTGTGGAGCTACAGCGGGGAGCAGAAGCTACAGCAGAGCCCACCGCCCGACGCGATACCGCCCTGAAACAGTTTGAGCAGAAATAGCCAATCTGGGCAAATCTAGCAACTTGTCTAGCTCCTCGCTGCAGCATCCGATGACGATGACACGCATATGCTCGCGAAGCTGCTGATGAGACCTTCAATTTGCACCGCTTCTTGGAATAGCCCGTCCCCTACTTGCCAAGAAATGGCAAGAGGCGTCTGGACCCGAAATTTCAATTTTTTTGGCTCTCGCTCTCAATCAGATACTTCGCTCTCAATCAGGCGAATATGGTGTTGTATGTATGCCAACGGAAACTGGCAACAGTAATCGATGTGCTCGAAGTATGACGGCATGTGCTACAAGAACAAGCGATCGAACGAAACAAAATACCGACAAACGGTCACACTCCGGACGCGACATGCTCAGTGGCGATGAGCGTGAGCGCCGACCTCTGGCACCGGCGCCTCGGCCACATCAATCCAAGTGCTAATGAGATTTTGCGGCGCAACCCCGCTGCAGTTGTGCAATATGACGGACCTGTATCCCCGTGCGACAACTGCCACATCATGATGCACAGGAAGGCTCCCGTCCCGAAGAAGACCAGCCGTGTCCTGACAAAACTAGGCCAATTCGTCCAGTTCGACAACATGGGACCAAACGACTCGCTTGCGAAGTACAACGGATACACCTACTCCTACGTCGCCAAAGCGACCGACGTCTTTTCCAGAATGCCGGAAGTGTACCTACCGCGTGACAGGACCAAAACCACGCAAGCTCTGCACGCCTACAACATGCAAGTAGCATCTGAAGGCTACCGCATCGAGGTTCTACTCTGTGACAAAGGGCGAGAGAACACTGGGGAAGAAATGCGCAACTACTGTAGGGAGTCTGCGATCAAGCTGGAATTCGCCGCGACCAACACGCCCCAAGAAATCGGAGTGTCAGAAAGGGATGGCCAGACACTTGCAGCTGTGACTCGAGCTCCACTGCGTGATGGAGACTTCTCAAAACACATGTAAGGGGAGCTCATGATGACTGCAGCATACCTGACCAACAGGACCCCACACGCGGCGCTAGGGGGAGCCACGCCGTATTCCNTGACTCGAGCTCTACTGCGCGATGGAGACTTCCCAAAACACATGTGGGGGGAGCTCATGATGACTGCAGCATACCTGACCAACAGGACCCCACACGCGGCGCTAGGGGGAGCCACGCCGTATTCCAAGATGTACAACACAACCCCGGACCTTTCTCGACTTTGTGCCATCGGCGCCCGCGCGTTTGTTCATCACGAGGGATACAAGAAGAAGCTAGACGACCGGGCCCTTGAAGGCAAGCTCGNGATCGGGCCTTTGAAGGCAAGCTCTGCGGTTACGGACCTGACAGCAAGACGTACCGGATCTACGTGGAGGGCAAAGACAAGGTCTACGAGAGCCGGAACGTGACTTTCATCGAGACTCCACCCAACACCATCCCCCCTCACCGGTGGGACGACCGTCTCGGATATGAACAGGACGTGATGAACTTCACGTCATTGCTCGGACGCCGTACCTCTACGGGCGACGAAGACAACAAAGTGGACTACGGAACACATACAGAGCTCCTACTGCACGAGATGCGCAACATGCAGCAAGACAACATCGACCGAGCAGAATTTGCCAAAACAACGCGGGCACGGATTCCGACGACTTCTTTGCTGCTGGGGGAGATGACAGCAATGACAACTCGCGGACTACGACACCATCCAGGACATCGCAGGACATGTCACTCGAATCACACGACGCCAACAGACACGGACTCCGCTTCGCCAGCCCCGATCCCAATGCGTCGATAAACGATGACCCGTCCTGCCACGCGCACTCACCAACCCACAGATGACCCTATCGACCCTTCATGCATCCCGAAATCTCTGGAAGTGAACATGAACGACAGAGGCCGCTCTGCCATGGCTGTCAGCCACCCCGACCCACTGGAGCTCACGGAGGATCAACTACTCGATCTCACCCACCAAGTGCAGCAACGATGCCTTACTGACGCGGCGGATATTGCTCACGTGGTCGAAGAACCCTTCGCCGAAGTCCGGGCGTGTGCTAACGCCACAGGCACCTCGAGCAAAAGGTTCTGGGGGGAGAGAAACCAAGAGATCAAAACTCCGAGCACGTACACCGAAGCCATGAACTCACCACAACGCGAGCAGTGGAAGAGCGCTATCAACACCGAGATGGGTAATCTCGCCAAGCACAAAGGCTACAAAAAAGCACGCATCAGCCTGGTACCGAAGGATGAGGACCTCTTTGACACACGCTTCGTGCTCAAGATCAAGGCCGATAGCCGCTTCAAAGCCCGCTTAGTCGCCGGGGGACACCGCCAACGGGCAAGACGACACTACAGAAGGAAATACGCTCCAGTCATCCGATTGGGTAGCATCTGCATGCTATTCACCATCGCTTGAGAACACGGATGAGAGGTGTACCATTTGGACGTGGTAGCTCCATTCCTGAACGCGTACACCGACAGAGACGTCTACGTCAGGCCGGCGCCAGGCGAAGATGAGAGGGACCCCACGACAGGTGAGATGATGGTCTACAAACTGGAGAAAAGTCTCTACGGCCTGTCACAGTCCCCGTCACTGTGGAACGACGCCATCAATGACCGACTCACCATCTTCGGCTGGCAGCGCACTCACTCTGACCCCTGTGTCTACATCTTCGTAAGCGGGGACGAACTCAGAAACCTCGCGATCTACGTCGATGGCATCCTCATCACGGGCGGAAACAAGGAGATCATCAACAGGAAAAACAAGGAACTCATGGACAGCTTCGAAATGACAGACATGGGAGAGGTCAAGCGCGTAATCGGCATCGAAGTGCAGCGGGACTACGAACATGGCACACTAGCCATATCGCAAGGACGCTACGCGAGATATATCCTACAGCGATATGGAATGGAACAGGCAAACCCGGTCAGCACCCCCGGGTATGGAGCAGAACTATCAACTGAGCAGCCACAAGTCCAACTACTCGGACCCGAGGACAAGCAGAGATTCCAGGCCATCACCGGAAGTCTCCTGTACCTTACTCAATGCACCCGCTACGATCTGTCATACGCAGTGCACCAACTGACACGGGCACGTGCAAACCCAGCACAGGTCCACATGGCTGCGCCAAAGCACCTACTACGGTACCTACGCGGAACGCCGGACCTACCGATCGTGTACAAGAAGGTGCAGTTCAGACTCTCGTGCTTCACTAGCTCGTCATTTGGAACCAACCCAGACAACGGCAGGTCTACCACCGGATACCTGTTCTTCCTAGGAGGGGGACTGATCAACTACGGAGCCAAGGCACAGACTCTGGCAGCACAGAGCACCGCGGAGGCCGAACTTCAAGCGCTGAGCTTCAGTGCTCGCGAGGCAGTCTACATCTCCAACTCCATGACGGAAATCGGATTCAAGACCCCATCAACAGCGACAGCACCGGAGCATTGACTGTGGCCAGCAACGCGAAGTTCAGCACCAAGCACATCGCGCTCCGATTTTCTTCCTCAGGGAAATCACGAAGGGGCACCGGATCACTCTTCACCACCAACCTAGTGCCACGATGTTAGCGGACATCACGACGAAACATCTCCCGACGCAGCGATTCGCCACCATCATGCAACTCATCAAGGACTGTAAGTGCTAAAAGATATCAAGCACAAGATCGCATAGTATGGTTGAATGTTTTGAACGCGTGTATTGCTGACAGGACGGATTCACTCATGTAGAGGTCGATATTCTTTGATATGGATTGGGAATTGAGGAGTCGCAAAAATTGTCAGCAAAGTGAAGTTTTGGAACATCGGCTACTTGCCTAATCGAGGGGTCGTGTCGAGGAAAACTTTTACAACGTAGTCAGGCGGACTTTAACATAGGTGCGACTGCGGCAACTAGCCTTCCGTAGACACAATACAGAAAGAAGAGATGGTACTTAGCAGAGAACATGAGCACAGAGTTGTAGCGGAGAAAAATATGGCAGGGGAGACTGTAGTCAATTTTTTGCTCCGAACTCCGAAATTCCGGTACTCGGGCCAATACCCCGGCGACCCTCTTGTTCTAGAAATATTTCGGAAGCATGCTAGGTCAAGGTCGACCGGGACATCTACGTCGAACGTGTGTAGCTTCTGGAAACCTTCTGAAAACGTCTGGAAGCGTTCTAGACCTAGGTTGCACTTGATACTTTTCTAGAACGTAGGAGGGCTTCCAGAATCATTCTGGAAGCATTCTAGATCTTTCGTGTGAATGGCTTATTTGTCCGGTATTCGAGGAGAGTGGTGCAGCCCTAAGCTCGCCACCCCTCTCACTCTCATCTAGCACCCATCAAAGCCTGCCCAGGGAGTCAGTTGATAAGAACATCTATCTACATTTCTCTTTCCGAAGCTCGCTCGGGCCTACCGATCTCACACCAGTGTAACCTCTGTGATAGACTACAAAGTCTACGAGCTACAGCAGCACCGCGGTGACAGCAGTGTAACGTCGGTGGTAGACTACAAAGTCTACGAGCTACAGCAGCACCGCCACCTCCGCTGCTGCAGAATGCCACATTTTGTGAAGACCATGCACTCCAAACTTTTGCTGCTCGTTGTCGCCATCCTGGACGAATCATCGAACTGTGTAGTGAAGGCAGCGCACGTCTACAACACATGATCACTCGATTCTGAAGTTTATGCAAGCTTCTGCCCAGATCAATCTATGACCCTGCTCCAGGAAACCTACAACCAATGGGGGGTGGGGGGGGAGGGGAGGAGGGGGGTTGGTGGGCTGGGGGGGAGATACGTGTGGTGGACTATGCACACCATCAGTTGGCTCGAGGGTACTTGGTTGTTTGGCGGGGGTATTGGAGGGAGGGCGTCAATCGACGCCCCAACGACAAATGCGGAGGGCGAAAAAGGAATGTCCGCTTCGCTCGAGTATGCTCATAACCGCTTTGCTCGACCAAAAGCCCAAGACAAGATGGACTGCGTAGGACCCGCCGGACACGGGAGTGCAGTGATCCACATAACACACGCCGTATGCGTTCTACCGTAACCCAGCCAGGCAACATTGGTATGGCAACCGTGCTGTGACAGCAGTAGCGTCGGGCGAATGGAAGGTGTACCTATGCATATGCTACGACAGCAGCAGGGCCGGGCGTACGTTCAAGTTTGTTCCACCTCTGAAATGTAGCATTACACTACTGCGGCTGTACAGCCCTATCTCGTCCTGGGAGCAGCAGCTCGTTTCTTTCCTGACTCCGTGCTCCTTAGACAACAATAACCAACGCCTTGGTGCTCCAACAACAACACCAAACAACAACTGCTGAACCCGCCCCTCTACCTCAGGCAATACTCGCTTGGTTGCGGAACGTGTTGGCAGCGGTGGAGCCCGATCGACTTGTTACGTCCCAGGTCCGCACGGCTGCTATTACGTGAGCGTGGTAAGCCCCACACAGACCCGGATGCTCCGTCGCAGCCTTCTTGGCAGCAGCGAGGGCCATGCTCGGCATTGGCTCCGGGGCGGTGTCGTGATGGCAGTACTCGGCGCCAACCTTCGCCGCTACCTCAAACGCAAACGCGTGCACCAGGGTGCTGGTGCCTTCTTCCGCCGGCGTGTTCGCCGCGATCAGCAACACCATCTGCTCATGGCAGGCTATCGTGTTCCCGGCCTTGTACCCCTCGACGTCGGGCGTTTGCATGTCCATAGCTTTGGGGGCTTGTAGGTGCTCAGTTCGTGTGCTGTGCGCTTTGTTGCTTTGTGTGCGTGGAGGGAGCGCTATATACCCGGCAGGGCCCAGATAGTGAGGGGGACAGAGAAGTACAGAAGTACAAATACCTGCTATAGGTCTACAAGGCCTCCCACAGATGATTCTTACAAGGGGCTTCGCGGCGGGGCCGCTTGAGGCGGCCTGCCGCTCCGCCGAAGGGTGAATGCGATGTCAAGTGCGCGTGTGTTTGAAATAGGTGTTGATGAGGAGCGGTGTGGAGGGAAAATGTATTTTTGGAATGAAAGATTAGTCGGTAGGAAGTCATGGCATCACTGCGGGTTTGTTTGAAGATATGTGTGACAAACCCAGCACTTCGAATGCGGAGTCGAAAGAACAACGAAGGAATTGAAGCTTTCAACCTCTGCGTGGAAGAGATTGAAGTTGACCCAAAAAGCCAGTTGTAACACCGGAGACGAACTCGGTGTAGAATTAAATCTTAAGAACGCCGGTAGAAGAAGAGCTACTACTGCTGTACTGCAGGAAACAAAAGGGAAATGTGGCGAGGGTAGTCCTGCGCCCTACGATTGGAAGAAGCCACTTGAGTCCCAGAATAGAGAAATGACAAACGAGGGCAACGGGCATGGGAGAAATGTGTGAAAAATCTCACACCACTGAATGCGCAAATTGAAGAGACATGCAGGGCACGTGGTGACGAAACGGCCATCACTCGAATGAAGGAATCGAAAGCAGAAAACTCTACGAAGCGTAGCTGTGTACATGCTGGAAGTCTTAAAAAACTCAAAAACCTTGAAAACATGCAAGCCATCGGAGGAAATAAGATGAGTTACTCCTATACTGCATGAGAAGAAATCGAACTGGGATAGAGGCTATTCCCGCGCGGCACAAAACGAAATCCACTGCTCTTGGCAATATTCCTCGAAATCGGCCTCAAAAGTCTCGAATTCCACGAGTTGGGAGTCTTCCGCGGTAGGAAGAGCTTTCTCGGCGTGGGCGATTAAACTTTCCCACTCAGAATCCGTGTAGAAGGATTCCTCGTAGAGATCGATGTAATGCTCGGTGAGCAGGGCCTCGAGACTCTCGTATTCAACGAGTTGTTGATCGTACGGCATGTTGATGGTTAGACCTGCTGCGACGAAGGTAATTGATGGGGAACGGAAGGAGTTGGTATGCAGGAGGAGTAGTGAAGCGATGACACGTTGTAGATGAGATACATTGCTGACGGATCGGCACTGTAAGGATTGGGGAGAGAGGCTGGCGACAGGAAAACGTTGATGGAAACGTTGTAGACGCGCTCGGCAGCAACTATTTCAGGTTGACCAAGATACGCTCTCGGGTGAGACATGATGTGGAGGTAATTGTCATAGTAGTTGTACGGGCGAGGATTTTCTCCGAGAATATTGAGGTATTCAGAATTTATTCCCGCTGTGATTGCATTTTGAAGGCTGGGATCGTTGCGGTTTTGGTGCATGTATTGAAGAACTTCTATGCGGACTTGGGCGTGTTTGTGAGGATCGTTGAATACATGTCTTGAAATACCGCGGAAGCCGCAGGCACCATCCCCTATCTCGCTGACAATAGATCATGTGTTAGGTGGAGGAGGAGTATCGGGGGGAGGGATAATATCGGGGGGTGGTATGTTAGGAGGAATGTTAGGCGGAGTTGAAGGCGGGGACGTCTGGCCGGTGGCGGCTTCTGTGAAAGGATCGTAGACGCAATTTTGGACATGCGCGATGGAGTTGTGGACACGATCCGGAGGCACGAGGACCATAACAAATGCCTGTTTTTTGCCCTGCTGAGAGCAACATAGAGCTGCTCGTGGGCGAAGCAGTCGGAACGAAAATCAAGACCAACACGAGACAAAGTTTGACCTTGGCTCTTGTTTATAGTCAGCGAACATGCTAGTCTGAGAGGGAATTGTACATGGTTGAATGTAATGCCATTCCTTCCTAGTTGCGTGTGAAATGAAATGCGAGGAATGAGAACGATAGAGTTATCGTGATTCAATAGTTGTACCTGAACCACACGAGAGTTGGGTGACACGCCACGAATGACGACCTTTTGCCCATTAACGAGACCCTCCGAAAAACTCAAGTTTCTGATCAACATAGTGAGAGCATCCGATTTTAAATCAAGCTGATGAGGAGGAACGCCTGGTACGTCAATATTATTCAGATTTAAAAATATATATATTATTCAGATTTCGGTAGAGCAGAAGGCGGTGGAAGATATAGGATCGTTGTGATCTTTGATGAGTGTGTCTGAGCTGTAGAACGAGACGTGGTTACCATGGCGCCTGGAAGATATGTCGTTGTTGCATGAGTCGATTGAGGTGTTGGTAGTCGCTAGAATGGCGCGTTCGTTAGTTGATGTGCGTCTTCGTGGATGTTAGGGTATACGAAGCCTACCAATTCGTCGTAATTCGTGGTGTATTGCAGAGAGAGAGAAATGGTCGTCTGTAGAGGTGTCCTGTGTATTGGAAAGCGGGACGAGTTTTGCACCGTCTTCGAAGGTGGTGGATGGTTGTCTGTTTTCACCGATGGATCGGACAAAAGAGGCATAAGCAGGGTCTTCTTTGTCCCTCTGCGAAATTGTCAGTCGTATTCGTTCTACTTTTGGCCAGATGTCGCTTGAGATGAACGATGCTTCGACCGTGTCAGCGGCTGATCCGAAAGGTACTACAGGGCCACATTGGCGCCAGTCACTGAAGAAGCATATGGTGAGTCCACCAAATAATGCCTGGGATCGCCTGATGTCTCTTAATGTGCGC